GTTGTTGTTGTTGTTGTTGTTGTTGTTGTTGTTGTTGTTGTTGTTGTTGTTGTTGTTTTTTGTTTGTTTTTTTGTTTGTTGTTGTTTTTCTTGGGGGGGGCGTAAGTGTTTTACCGCGCTCGCAACTACGTAAGGTCATAAGAGCGCGCATACAGATTTGTTTATTGATAATATATCGTACCATCTACCTGTATGTCTACCTGTATGTCTATACTGTACAATCTATCTGGTGTCCATACGTATATTTATTGATAGATCGTACCATCAAACTGCATGCTATATTATAATACGATCTACCTGGTGTCCATCGGTATGCTTTTTTTAATATATATATCGTACCATCTAGATACCTGCTGTTTACCTGTATGTCTATACCATACAATATAACTGGTGTCCCTCGGTATGTTTATTAAAATATTGTACCGTCTACCTGATGTCTACCTGTATGCCTGTACTGTACAAATCCAGCTAGTATCTATCGACATGTTTATTTTACTGTACCGTCTACCTGTGATCTACCTGTATGTCTATACTGTACCATATCCCTGGGTTCTACCTGTACGTTCACGTTTATCTACATGTTGTATATTCCTATTGGGGGGGAGGGGACCTCTTTCTCTTTTAAATTTCTGACTTTGCTATTGATTCTTCTTCCCCACAGATCCTCTGTCTCGGGTGTTCCAGCTGGCCAATGGGAACCTGGTGATTCGTAACATCCAGTTGAGTGACCAGGGCAAGTACACGTGTGTAGCGACCAACAGTCTGGGACAGGCCTCCAGTGACGGCGTGCTCAGGGTTGTCTGTGAGAATTTTTATTGATTATTTCTGTGTCTGTTATAGTTTTACGCATGTTTCGTCCCTACATTTTTCCGTCTTACTAATTCACTCTACCTTTTCTTAATTTCATCAGATGTTAATTTTTTTCATCGCACCCCTTCTTTACCTGTCTCATTTCATTGTTTTATTTCATCACATCTTAATCCCCCCTCCCTATCCTATCTCTTCTCGTCTCACTTAATATTGCCTTTTAAATTTTTTTTATTACATTTGAACTTTTTCATTGATTCCTATCTTTTCCAGTCTGATTCCATTTCTATCCATCTCATGTTCCTTTTCCGTCTTATTTAATTATAATGTGTTTCATTTCGTCTCTTACTCTCTTGTAATATTCCATCCTAATAGAGTTGATATGGGCTTCCATCTACACTAGCTTTATAATATTTCATCGTAACTGTTTCTTTCTGACCCCAACCCTCTCGCACAACTTACTCAA